ATAAGCAACGACGTAACATGCTCATATCTACTAGTAAGGTGAATAAGCCTAGCAGCACTATTTAGGACACTCTGTAAACGTTTCAAGATACATTTAGGCTGACCGTAGAGCAGTGAGTTACAATAGTCGATCCTTGCAGTAACAAAGGCATGAATTAGAGTTTTACATGTATCGTAGGAAAGAAACTTGCGAATCTTAAAAATATTGCGAAAATGAAAAAGCGAAGACTTGCAAACAGCAGTAACGTGCGGCAACATCGATAGAGAGTTATTAAAAATAACTCCAATATTTTTAGCAGTAGTTGAACAGTCAACAGTGTCAGAGGCAATCACCAGGTTTATTAACGCAGGACGTGGGCGATAGGAGGATGAAAAAACTATAATTTCAGTCTTCCCACTGTTCAGCTTCAGCTTGTTATTTAACATCCAAAGGTCAATATCTTTAACACAATCTTCAAGAGCAGATGTACATGTTGACATATCCTCAGGCGATGACGTTTCAAAAGATAAATATAGCTGTGTATCATCAGCATAAAAGTGATAAGATAGACCATGAGATCTTGCAATATCACCTAAAGGGGAAGTGTACAAAGAATACAGCAAGGGGCCCAAAACGGAACCCTGAGGTACACCATAAGGTAAGGCATGCACATCAGAAGAGACATCTTGGATTCTGACATACTGAGTGCGATCAGATAGATATGAACGAAACATGTCCAGCGCATGGTCACAAATGCCAAAACGGGTAGATAGTCTAGCAAGGAGAAGAGAATGGTCAACTGTATCAAAAGCAGCAGACAGGTCCAGTAGAACCAAAACAACAGATTTTTGATTGTCAATGGACATAGCAATGTCATTGTATACTCTGAGAAGAGCCGTTTCGGTGCTATGGTGAGCACGGTAGGCAGACTGAAAGACTTCACACAGACCATTGTTGTCAATGTAGTCAACAAGCTGCAAAGCCACTACTTTCTCAATGGCTTTGGACAAGAAGGTGAGGTCAGCGATCGGCCGAAAGTTCTTAAATTCTTGATAATCAGCAACTTCTAAGCATTGATCGGCTGGCCACAGAAAACACACAGAAAGATGCCGAGTTGAAGGCAAAGGAAGATGAGATAAACGGGTTGAGACAGGAAACTTTGCACCAAAGTGCAATGGTAGAACCATCCAGAGAAGGCTGAGAGCCATTGAGTATCAGATGATTGAGGTTGAACAACCGGGATAAACTCTTAAAAGACAAGTTTCTGGTTTCTCAATTTCATCAAGTTTCAAGTTTATCGCCTGGAGGTAAAATAACTGTAATTGTACATTTTGTACATAGAACGTGTCATCTGGTTCGTGAATCTACTGTCCAAGCTAATGTATTAAGCGGAATCAAGTGACAAATATTTTTATGTTTGTATTTACGGACGAAATATTTGAAGGAAGATTATTGTCTTACCGAAACGATGATTAGATTGAAAACATACTGTTGAACTTAAAGGTGTCCATCAAGTTTTGAATCTTGTCGTGCCGCAAAAGTGAAAGAGCTCGTCCAAATATCTCTAAAATGCTCTTTAAAAAAAGACAGAAAAGCTTGTTTCTTCTTCAAGAAACTATTTAAGCATTCTTGTGACTTCTTGTTGATTTTGACGAGACCTCTGTGAAAGATCTACTTTGAGCAGAAGCGACGATAGTAATTTAGAGAAAATATTGCATTGCATGTAATTTAGAGTAACGACCAGTAAACTTCTATTCACGGCTCAGGTTACTGTCTCTCAATCTCATCAAAGTAACGATCAAAAACTACCTACTGCCTGCAACTGAGAAGTGTTGACGGGGAAGTCTTGAGGTGTTTCATAGTACCACTGAACAATATTGGCAAACATAGTCTTGTAATTGGTTTTCAAACGCACCGTCGATAAACCAAACCTTGATAACCTTGTCAATCATTTGTTGTAAAAGCTATGACAAATGTGTTGATTTTCAATAAACAGTTAGCAAGTACAAATAAAAGATCGGCAGAATTAGTTGCCATTCGACGAAAATCCCCCTAATTCATAAGTTACTGACGTAAGTAGGTAGCTCTTGCGGAGACAACTCGGCCTACAATCCTCCGAAATCATCTTTACACATTACTTTAAGTAGTTTGTATGATACTCATCCACCACTGCACAGCTTCCATACAGCGGTTCTCTATAGATTCTTGAAACTCTTCTTCCAATTTGCCTTGTTTCTTTTCAGTGCTCCTAATATTTTTTCCAAATTGGATTTTGTATGTAATTGTTCTTCTTCGAGTTGTCCTATGATGGATTCTAAAGATTCTACATTCGATTTTACTTGTTCTAAGGTTGTTTCCAACTGTGTCACTTTACGAGTTAATGTCTGTAGACTCTCTTGTATATTTAGAGCCTTGGATGTTTGTTGTTGTTGTTTCAAGTGTTCCAAAACTAGGGAGTCTACTTCCTTTTTCAGTTCTTCTTGCGTCTCTTTGATGTTAGCAATTTTTCATGTATTTGTTCAGCCACGGAAAAGCATGGAAGATTCATGATAAATGATGAAAGAGAGTGAATGAGTCAAGTTATATAGGTATTTGTTTGAAATTAGTTTGACTGGTGATGATGTCAGTTTGCTTGCCCAAACGTTCCCAATTCCCTAGAATAGAATAGAATTCCCTAAACTGTGATATTCTTGATACTTGCCCAAACTTGCACAGGTCACATGTTTGACGAGTCATGATGTCACTTAAAAAAACAAAAAAAAATTTTCACTTCCCCACACTTGCCCTCATCCCTAGAGTAAAAACTAGTTTGACCGGTAATAACATCATTTTATGCTCGCACAAGTTACATGTTTGACGAGTCATGAGGTCACTTTATAAAACGAAAAAAATTTTTTGACTTGCCCTTATCCATAGAGTCATTTTATGCTATAGAAGAAAGAAAATCAAGCGAAACATCATCACTCATCATGGCAGAAGCACACGTAAAAACTGTTATGAAGGAAAGAAAGAGAACCAAACCTGACCCCATGATCAATCGTAAAGATGACTTGGTTCCTCCAACAAAAGTAGTGAAGATTCAAGAAAAAGTAGTGGAAGAAGGCGAAGTGCGAGATATTTTGGAAGAAATGGGTTTTGAATTCCCTGCCCCCTCGCCAAGATGTTTCTTTCATCCTAAAAAAGAGTTGGAAAAAAAGACTTCCCAAGCTAGGTTTAATTACAGGCGATGTCCCCTGAAAGAATGCCCTGTCTTTATCAGTGAAGATCATTTGAAAGATTATTACGCTTGTGCACACGATTCAGAGAAGCTGTTAGCCGTGTACTATGTTTTGCTAAGAAAGAATTTGCTGAAATGTCGGTGTCGACAACCCATGCAACTCTACCTGTCTTACAGTGACATGAATCCGAAACGTCTGTACATCCGTTTTCAGAGAAATCGCTGCAAAGTATTTCAATGGACAGATGAAATGCCTACCAATCGCAATCAAGAATTATGGAATCCCAATTTTGTGGATTTCAATGATCCCTTGTGGGAAGACATCTGCACTCATACTCAATTCCAAACAACCCAAGACGCCAACAAGATTAAATTTCCTCTTGAAGTACGGGGCATGAAATACAGAGCAGAAGATCGTGAAGATTTGTTACGTATCGTGTACATGATACGCCAATTGAGACACAAGCAAGAGATATAAAGGAAAACGATCGAGAATCAAGAATCATTTGTTGCAGTTTTCATCATGACAAGACGCGTACCTTTGATAATGTCTGAACCGTTACCTATGGAGAGTTTACAGCCAGAAGAAACAGTGACTCCGGACGTAAAGACGGATTTGGTAGAAAGATTTGAAAAGAAACTTAGAAAGACAAAGACAAAGTCCAGAAAAAAAAGGGTCAAATGTTCAAAATTGAAAACTTTCTGAAAAAGAAACAAGGACTGCAAGGAATTTGTTTAAATAAGAGAGCATCTTTGTTTAGTTTGTTGTCAAAGATGAAGTGGGCCAAGACTCCTTTAGTAAAACTGTTGGATAAAAAGAAACTAGATAGGATGTAATATAATGACATGATTGTTGTGAATAAAGTTCAGTTGTGATTTGATATCATGAGGTGTGTTTCTTGTGTAGTAAACTTTGAGTTACAAATATGCAGAGACATTTATCAAAAGTTTTTTGCCTCAGAAGATTGGATAGTGTTTGAAGAGGAAGACATTTATCCACCTGCGAAAGTGTTTGCCGAAACGGTCACGAGTCCCTTTCGTTTCATTGTCTTTATACTATGGTTGCATGATACTTAGGATGCTTGGATTCATTTTAAAACACATTAAGGCTATATATCCAGAACGTTGTACTTCTATCTTTTCATTAATACGCCTATTGTTGAACCTATGTCGTGGCACCCCGCACCAAGAATAGAAAAAAGAATAAACGTGACAACCAGAAGATGCTCGGATTCATTTCAAACACATTAAGGCTATATATGCAGAACGTTGTACTTCTATCTTTTCATTAATACGCCTATTGTTGAACTTATGTCATGGCACCCCGCACCAAGAATAGAAAAAAAAATAAACGTGACAAAGAAAGAGAATTACTTGAAGCTTATGGAGATCCTACAAAACCGGGAAGTTTGGGAGGTGCGTCGCGTTTTGCTCGTATACATTGTCTGAAACCTGCCGAAGCTCAAAAGATTCTGGAAAAAGATTTGGCTTACACGCTCCATCGACCGAGACGACGCGGAAGATTTCCCACCTTACCCGTATTGGTTTTTGGTAAAGACGAGCAATGGGTTGCAGATCTAGTAGAAATGCAATCTTTGGCCAAATAAAATAGTGGAATCGTTATCTTTTGGTAGTCGTGGATGCGTTTTCAAAATACGCTTGGGTAGAACCCATAAAATCTAAAACGGGAATCGCCGTTACCGAGGCTTTTAAAAAAATCTTGAAACGTGCCGAAGGAAGAACACCACAAACATTGCAAACGGATGATGGAAAAGAGATCTACAATCACACATTTCAAAAATTGATGAAAGATAAAGATATTCATCATTTTTCTACGACCGGTGATACAAAAGCCGGCATGGTAGAACGATTCAATCGCACTTTGAAAAGTAGAATGTATCGTTACTTCACGAGTGCCAATACTTACAAGTACTTGAATGTCTTTCAAGTGTTGGTCAGAGGATACAACGAATCCTTTCATCGAAGTATAGGAATGAAACCCTCAGAAGTGACTTTGGAAAATGTTAGTGATGTGTGGGATACATTGTACGGTAAAAAGATTAAAACAACAATGCAAATTGAAACCCCGATTTCGAGTCAACGATAGAGTTCGATTAAACGAAAAATCCAGGATGTTTAAAAAAGGATATTTACCAGGTTGAACTGAACAGGTGTTTATTATGTCAAATGTGGTACCTGGAGTGGTTTACACCTATAAAGTCAAAGAAATGGACAATACGCCCGTGCGAGGTACTTTTTACGAATAAGACTTGCAAAAAGTACAAATACCTGACGACGCTTTGTATCGTATAGAAAAAGTCCTTAAACGCTAAGGCAGTAAAGTTCTTGTCAGTTGGAAAGGTTTCCCTCCAAAATGTAATTCTTGGTTGACCAAGAAAGACATTCAGAGGTTATGATGGATTTCTACTTACACTTGGAGAGCAATGCGTGTGTGCAAGAGTTTCCGCGGAATTCACAGCACAGCTTTAAGAATCGTTTACCTCATCCCATCTACATGAAAGAACGAGGATGGAGAGTGGGATTGGCTAATGTGAGTTATGCTCTAAGCCGTCCGAGAAGATTTTCCTACGACAAATTTGGAGAAGAGGGAAAACATATCTCCTGGGGAGGCATTACTATGGAAATCACCTATAACGATCAAAGCGAAATTGAAAAAATAACCCTGTCCAATTCCATATACCTGACTTGGACTCGATTCGTGGAAATGGGACGCACTTTCCAAAGTGGAGTGGAATTCATGAAACTCCTGGTAGATTATTATGGGGGATTTATATCCGAGACCAAAAGACACGGTGCGGATTTCATGATTAAAAAATATGACGAAAGAGCTGATGACCCTCACGAGTTAGATTTCGATGAGGTCTTACTCGAAGGAAGAGGATACATTACGTTCAAGTGGGAAGGAGACGATTGGATCATCGACAACATTCATACATGGCGAGAAGACAAGAATGTATTTAAAATGCAATGAATGCACGACCTAGTATTCAATTCGGTACAGAATTGGCCTTGGTCATGGACTGGATTCGATACGATGCTTTGAATGATGAATACTTACTTCAACACAATAATTTAGATATGACTTCTCTGGAAAAACCGGCAGAGAGACCTCAGGATTACCAAGGAAAGTATTGGAAAGTGGACGTTGAGTTTCTTTATCTCAGCGTATTTGCCGACTGGAAATTTACCAATCTGAATTTCTTGTTCGAGAACATGATGGGATGGAATATTCCTCAAAAACACGGTATCGAAAGAACGTTTCGTGTCGAATCGAATGTGGCTGCTAGCACAATTGTGGGAAATCAAATCACACATGTCTTGCGAGAAATACAATATGTACCCTCGACGAAATATTACGAACCCTCACATATCCAATATATTCCAGTGCGTCAACAATTTTTCGACATAATCGAAGTGGATCTTCGCGAGGAAAACGGTGAACACGCTACCTTTGAAGTGGGTAAAACCACCGTGAGTCTTCGTTTCAAGCAATATGGCCACTAGCGGAATCGTGGTGACATTTTGTCAGCAGTAGTAGCAAATCGGAATTCCCTATAATGAAATGTCCAGTTACAAGATTCGTCTACCTTACCCATTGGAATTGAATGGAAAATGGAAAGTGGAACTGAGTAGCATCATGACATGAACACGTTTGAACCAAGAACTGTCTGAAATTACATTGGAGACAACGTGGAAGTACCTAAAAACAATACAGCCATTTTGACTGTCACTTGCGTGATCAAACTATTGAGAGGCGCGTTTCCTGGAATAAAAAATTTCATATTGCATGTGAAGTGCGACAATATCAAACATTCAAATGTCATCACAGATGGAATTATCTTTATGAAAGTGGTGATAAACAAGTACGAAGAACTTGTCATGCGACGAAGAGCGAATTATGATGAAGGTCCAGGAAATAATACCAGACTAAAAGAAAGTCAGACTACGTTAAATACTGACAAGAAGACCAAGGGAATTTTTTACTTCAAATGGGAAGGAGACGAGCTGGTCATAGACAACAAAAACTCTCCAAAGTACGAGAAACCAGAACATCCTTAAATGTTCATGGGTGGGAATAAAGACTTGGCTTTGAAAATGGGATGGATTACACCATGGCCAGAGAAGAACTCGTACAAATTTGGATCTAATCTCATACCGGAAAGCTATGCAGAGGACGGATGTGCCTCTGCAGCTCACAATCTGATGTTCAGACCCATGCAAACCGACAAGCCTAACGGTTTCGACATGTCTACCCTTCAGTATTACTTTCACCTCAACGAAAATGAAGAACAAGTGTATCTCAGTGCGGAATGTAATTGGAGATTCAAAAATATCAACAAAACCTTTGATCACATGATGAGAAAGACTGCACAGAGTTTTTTCGTGTACTCAGACGTGATGATGAGTGGCATAGTAGGAAATCAAGTCACCGATATCATGCGAGAGGTTAAATACCAACGCACGGGAGCAGGAGTGAATTATTTCGAACCGTTACATATTCAGTACTTACCAGTGCGAGGCAACACCATTCATACCATCAAAGTAGAAGTGTCCGATCATAAAGGGGAATTGGTTAAATTTGGAGAAGGAGACACCATAGCGACATTACATTTCAAACGGCAATCATGAGAGGAGGTTCTTTAAAGAGATTCAAACCCAATGCTGGAAGACAAAAAGGAGAAGGAATAAAAGATATCTTGAGAAAAATTTTGAGTGATACGTGGAAAGGAGGCGTCGCAGGCTTTAAAAAGAAAGCGCCTCTTCGTAAGAGACCATACAACGCGATCAGGGGTTTTCAACAAGGATTAAAGAGCGGTATCAAGAGTGACAAGCGAAGTGAAACGTCAAGCAGCCAAATGACTGAAAGGATTTTTTGATTGAGAATGAATCGTATGGGATCCGTGTATTTTAGAGAGGTGTCTAGCGTGCGTTCAAGAGCAAAGTACAAAAAGGAGGACGAATCTTTCAAGAATCACCATTTGTACCTGTATTCGAACCTGAAACTGTCAAGTGGTTGACGAAACGCACCACAAGAAGAAGAAAGAAGAAACGATAATGTCCACGGAAGTCAATCCCGCGTATGGGAGTTCGCTACCCATGGTCAATGCAAAATTAGACCTTTTCAAAACGCCACCGATGGACATTTGTACCTCTTCCTACTGTATGGTACCCACTCAACCGTTCATTACTGGCACAACACCCATTGATTTCCAAGTGGATGCCCAAGGGGATTTTGTGGATTTGAATCGATTTGAAGTTACTTCGATGTGGAATTACAATTGAGTTCGACTGATTATAATAACTTTGCTAGGACTGCCGATAACACAGACACCATGATTGCACTCGTGAACAATTTTGCTCATTCCATCGTCAAACAAATCAACATGAGATTGAATGAAACTCTGATCAGCGAACAAACCGACACCTACCATTACAAAGTGTATATGGAAACTCTATCAAACAACAACAGACAAGACGATGAAACGATCTTAGTTCCTCAAGGATGGTATAACCACATCGATGTGGTAAGCCAATACACAGCTGCGAACATCAAAAATAATGATGCTCAGCACGCAGCCCTATCCTAGCAACACAACGATACTTTGAAAGCACAGAAACATGCCCCAGTTCCTTTTGTAGCACAAAGAAGGCATACGCTGAGGATGAAACCTCATTTAGGACCCTTTAGGATGGGAAAACTTTTAGTGCCTAGAGTACAATTAAGTATTCAATTTTATATGAATGCACCAGAACTAATATTCGATGCTGTGAATATCCAAGAAAAAATCAGGGAAATCAAGATGAAAATGTACCTGTGCGTGGTACGGCTAAATGACACCATCTTTAGAAGTCTGATGAGTAAAATGACCACCCAGAAACAAATTGTCAAGTATCCCACAGTCAGGTCCGAAATCGCCACGCGATCGTTGAGACAAGGAGAAAGGATACTGGAAATACAAAATCCCTTTCAATCCAGGATACCCAATTTCATTATGGCAGCACTGGTGAACACAGCGGCTTTCAATGGTGCCTACGACCGAGATCCATTTTGTTTTGAAAAATCTAGAGTGACCAGTTTCAAGCAATTTATCAGAGGAGAAGAGTATCCTTATGGATCTACGGACCTCAACTACAACGACGGACAAAAAGATTGGACAGGATATCACAGATTTCTACAAGCTTCTGGCTACATGACCAAAGGAGAACCTAACATGGTCTTGTCCAAAGATTGGGGGCAATATTACGTAGGCGCTCATGTCAAAAATGGCAATTATACTCTGTTTGCCATCGACAACGTAGCCAGCGGATGTGTGGATTGTCCCTATTTAAACCCTAAGCAATCAGGTGATATCGTATACAAGATTTTCATGGGCACCGAAGGTTTACCTGCAGACACCACAGTCCTTCTGTTTGCTGGATTGGAAAACCTGATAGAAGTGGATTCTAACGAAGCCGTGTTGTACGACATTGTACATGGACACACCTGGCGACGCTTGAAGATGGAAAGATAATCTTAAATAATGTGCAGTTGGATTTTTTAGCGCGTCATGATCCTAGACTCGAACCGCATTTTTACGGAACTGTACCCTGCGATAAGTTACCTAGACATCCTCAGAAAGACAGATCTGTGGGATACATTGTAAACACAGATTCGCATGATCGACCTGGAAGGCACTGGATAGCACTTTGGACAACCCCGGAAAACGTGCGTGAAATTTTTGATAGTTATGCGTTACCGTTACAAGTGTATGAAACCACTCAGCCGTTGATCGATTGGATCAACACATATTGGAAATACGTCGTGCGATCGTCCAAGAGTTTACAGTCTCTTTACAGTCACAGTTGCGGAGATTATGCCTTGATGTATTTGAGACACAGAGCTAGACGAAAAGACATTAGTAAATTTTTGAAACTGTTTTCTAGACATGATTTCGTAGCCAACGATCATAAAGTAGGTCAAATGTTAAAAAAGTTCATAGAAAAAGCGATTTCACAAGAAGAATGGTGTATGACCTCAGGCAGAGACTCGCATCAGAATTGTAAACGTATTTTTGGAAAAGAATTATGCTTCTGTTTGATATAATGTCTTGCGTGATGGCAGGGTAGCTCAAACGTGTAGAGCGTCGGACACACAACTCCTCACCAGTGGTGAGGTAAGTCCGTCCAAAGGCTATAGGTTCAAACCTTATCCCAGTCACACTTCTTTTATGAGTTGAGTTTTGTACCGCGCATGCGCATATTTTAAAATTTTTTAAAATTTTTTTTTTTTTTTGTATCAAAATCTCAGTATGGGATGATTGCTGAACATGTACAGCGTAACGTTTACATCTCTAAGGATGTCAAGTTTTTCTTTTCAAAAACGAAATAAATAAAAAATGATTTAAAAAATAATAAAAAAAATTTTTAAAATAAATAAATAGATAAAAATAAACACGTAACATCTGCCGTGACCAGGCTTTGAACCTGGGTTACTGCGGCCACAACGCAGTGTCGTAAACACTAGACGATCAGGGCAACGGTCAATCGATAGGTGATAATTAAACGTACTTATTTGATTCTTTGTTTCACATCTTTTGTCTCTATAAAAACCACTGTCATCTGTAGCTTTGTATCAAAATCATGGAACGTGCGGCACCTTTCAAGTTTCAATCTCCGTCCAGTATTTTAATCGCAGAACCTTTAGGTTGCGGCAAAACTTGTTTTACCGAATCTTTCTTAGTACATCATTTATCCGATTTGTTTGCACAGTCACCTACCGCTATAGTGTATTGTTATGGAGCATGGCAAGAAAAATTTGATCGTATGAGACACAACGGGTATAAAATTTCACAGAGGAGTCCCCGATGTATCACATCTACAAAAATGATTTACAGCGAGAGGAGGTATTTTGGTTTTGAATGATTTAATGGCTGAAGGTGGTAATGACAAAGAAGTCATGGATTTGTTTACCAAACATTCTCATCACCGAAACATTACGTTTCTTTATCTCTGTCAAGATATGTTTCCACCCGGTAAATACGCCAAGACCATTTCTCGTAATTCGCATTACATTGTGGCTGTCAAGAATCCTCGCGATCAACTGGGTATGCATAATATCTTATTACAGGCGTATCCGAAAACATGGGAACAGGTGATGGAAGTATATCGAAAAGAAACCGAGCGACCGTTTAGATATTTGACGGTCGATTTTCATCCGGCCGGTTATGATAGGTTTCGCATTGTGAGCCGCTTATTAAAGCATGAAGGCTGTATGCAATGTTTCATTTTACCCCCGCATAAACACCTATAAAGGTCATAGGCTATGAAAAAGAAAAGAGGAGGGCGACGTATTGCGCAGAGAGGTGGATTTGCTTCGGCGGTAGCGGCTGTACCGGTTATAAACGCTTTGGTGACCTTGGCCGTAGTCAAAAAGCTGAGAAAGAAGGCAGCCGTAGCCTTAGGTCATTATGTTTTGAAAAAAGGAATGAAGAAGTTATGGTCAAAGAAGCCAAAGAAGGGGAAGAAGTGAGTGAAACATGAAACGACTTTTGGGACATAGAGCTTCCTTGCTCTCTATACTACGAGAGGGAAATCGAAACAAACGTCATGACTTGATCCAACACCCCAACGGGGAACAAATCAATGCTGTCAGTGAATTGGTATTAAACATGTTAAAAAATGGCGTTCTGTTGTCACCACCGCTCATGGCTAAATTGAGAAGACACAAAAAGGTGCTCAAAGAACTGAGCAGGAGAAAAAATTCTATAAAAAAGAGACGACTTCATTTGATGAATCAGAAGGGCTCTGGCTTTTGGCAAGGTCTTCACGAAGCGTACTGTAACTGTTTTCAATTATGAGTTGTCAGACTTTGAGTGCTCTGAAGCATTTGTTAACCGAGATTAACTAATTGGTAGAAGAATAGAAAGAGAGTAGTCATAAAATGGAAAAGAATCACGATTATTGGTATAAGAGGGCTATGGATCTTGAAAAGAAATTGTATTGCAAACAATGTCTGAGTCGACAGAAAGAGGTGGAAGATTTAAACGACGGTGAAACGATGGAACTTTCTGCAGAATGCGCAGAACGATTACGTTCGACAATGGACATGCAAGAGCGCCTAAAGTTTCTTGAGACTCAAATCAAACATTAGCAGAATTCGTCTGCTTTTGAAAGCACCAGATATCTGACGCTCTTGTATAAGATTCACTGCTAGGATTGCAAAAGTGACATAAATAGATACGATCAATACTGCGGTCAATGCGTGCGTTCAGTCACCGAGAGTAAACACGAAATCGAGTACTGGAGAAAGGCGTACGATGCGTTATTGGAAAATATTATCAAGAACCACGCGATGTCGCAGATGGCTGAAGAATATCTCATGGTGAAGCCCAAAGAATTCCAACGACTTGTTCAATATTACAAAGGACAAATTACGGACAGTGCCTTACTAAACAAAGCAGGTCGTGTCACTGCCGAAGAACATATCATTGTAAACAATCCACAGGTGCCTGATGCTATAGCGAATCAACAGACTAGAGAATTGTTACAAGAACGTAGACGATTGACGAAGCGATTAAGAGATATTCCAAGTGTACCCACAGCCGATTTGGCAGATGTAGAGTCTGAGGAAAGTGCCATGACAGAAGGAATTGTGGAAAATTTACTCAAACGCATGGCAATGAAACAGAAGGAAAAACTGCAAGATGAAATTGCGCCCCCTCAAGACACCCAAGCAGGAACTTCCCACTCCTGAACCTCTAAAATACCAGCGCGCATAAAGAAACGAGTCTCACCCACACCTGGCACCTTATCTATGAAGAAAAGGCCTTCTCCTTCAACTTTCGATCTCTAATGGATGATTATCGACAGCAATTAGAAACCTCCTTTAAGAGTATAAAAAAGGGTAAACAACCCGCCAAAGTCAAACGCAAGACGGAATTGGATTGGTTAAAGAAGGCGAAGAGGCCGCTTTATGAAAACCCTTGAGAAGACAACTGCACAAAGACTCTGAGGAGTTCTAAGAAAACAAGAACCAAAAGAAAGGCTCCACCGAAAAAAGGCAGAGAGGAGGCAAATTTGACATTCAAAACTGGATTGCAAAATTAGGAGTGGAATTTCATCCTTATTCTTTACCTAAAAAGAAACGTTATCAATTCTTTGGACCAGGCACATTTTTGAAAAAACGCTTGGATCGAGGAGATCAGGGCATCAATCGTTTAGATTGCATTGCCAGACAGCACGACATTGACTACTCTAAAGCCAAGAGTCTACAGGATAAATGGAAAGCCGACGATAAGATGGTAGCCTCTATTAAAAATCTTCCTGGCAAGAAATCAATGATGGAACACCTGGCACGTTACATTATACAAACTAAGAAACAATAGAAATTGTAATAACAAAACTTGTTTCTTAATTAATAAAAACTGTCATTGATTACAACTGGCGTGTCCGTGCGTTTTTTCTCTTTCGATAATGTTCGACATTGTCGTTTACACCTTTAAACACTTGTTTGGCTAAAAGTCTACCTAAGGCACCGAACGATGGAGATGGACCCAACAGGAACATGCTTAAACCTTTGGCGATTTTGTCTGTTTTGGTGGGACCCCGCCGTAATATTCTTTTGATAGTACTCGCTGCTGCACCTCCTCTTTGTAGTCTCCTTTTCCTTCTCTTTCTTCGGGTTCTCATGGATGTGAGAATGAATGAATGTCACTACACTTACAACCTTTTATATCAGTACGGATACGACATAAAAGTGTCTTTGTCAATCACGCGTTTGTCAAACACTAAACCGTACTGTTTGATACGCTCGACAGTCCTATCTTCGTGGTTTGGCCGGGTTTGCATGAGTAGATGACGGATCTGTGTCGTAGTAGAGGACTTGATCTCGTAAGGGGTCCAGATAACTGTATAATTTCAAGCGGGCTTGAGTGGTTGTAAAGGCAGAGATGGAAGTATTGGGTTTCTTGCCTTTAGAAGCGTCTTCGTCCACGTAGCTAAACACCACCTCTAAGACATCTTCTGAAAAGACGCAAATCACATGAATGACCATCAACGAATTATTTAAATATTCAAACAATTCGTGAGGCGCTGTGACTGATTCCACCGCAGATTTGTTAAGCCGTTCTCCAAATTTACCCCAGAATGAGTTCAACATGAGTTTAGGTAACAAACATTTGGCTGCGTTCTTCACAATTTTTCCTGGTTCCATTCGGATACCTTCATGCACTTCATAGTGGTTGGTGTAATTCTGCAATTCTTCTGGGGTGCGTACATGAGATGGCCGCCCGCTTGATTCCTGTTTCACTTTCAGCCATGTATCCACGTACCCAGTGAACAATCTTTCGACGCGCTGGTCTTCGGGAAAATGCCAGATTTCATGAATTTTCACAATTTGGTACCCTTTTTGCATGGCTTTAATGATTTCTGGTGTACACCACGTACCGCAGATGAGGCGTTTTTGAACGGTGTGAGTACAGGTCCATTGGCAGTCGAGCATCGGTTTCGCTTGTTGTTGTTCCACGCAGGTACGGCAAAACGGAAAAGTCAATTTTCCTCCACTTCGATAGGGTAATACAGGGTTGAACAATTCTTCTGGTGGTACAATATCCACAATGGCAATGCGATAATAATCTGATAGATCGGTGATCTGAGGACTCGTTAAAATCTGTCGATGTCCCACGGGATAACTTCCGTATTTGTTACCCACGGATATTCAGAAGTGACATCGATGAAATGTACTTTTTCTCCTTGGCCTTCATCGGTCTTGTTTGTGGTACAAACATGTAGCGCCGGTCCTTCCACCGTAAAATGCATGACGCGGATCTAGAGGTTCCACAGTTTCCAAGGTGTGAAGAAACTGTATCAGTCGCGGGTCGTGTTTGGAGAGGTCATCCCAAAACCATTCCCACATTTCCACCACGGTAAAACCAATCGAGCGTAACAAAGCAGTTTTGGCACAGGTCACGTCATAGACTTCTTCCATGAAACAGTCTAGATGCACTCTAGGAACTAATCTGCGGTTGGGATGGCAGCGAGGACAACCATGCCATACACAACCATGAAATTGGTACCAATTTAGAAATTCTTGGCGTTTGTCAGGATTCATACTGTCAGGGTCATAAGTGTCGCTGGGTGGGATCGGTCCGACATAAGATTGGTTTTCGGGTGCATTAATCATCTCATTAACCATTTTCGACTCGATGTCTTCTACAACCTTTAATAACTCTTCATCACTCAACTCCTCGACAAATTTTCTCTTTGCCATGATGATGTTCTCTCACACGCGTATTCGAAATAAATTGTGCGCTTAGAATGTAATGTTTTTTGTGTAAATCAAAGGTGAATACTCAGGGGAGTAGAGGGTTTCTTTTGTTTTAGTTGGGCAAGTTTGAGCAAGGGAGGGCATGTATGGGCAAGTTTCCAAAATGTTGGACTCTTTCTTTAATTGAGTAAAAGAGGCTGTATTGTTGTTTGTTCCTTCCTCCATTACAACTTGTTGCTATCTTGAGGAAAAGAATTGTGATAATGAATGGTGCTGGTGAATTTTCAGATGGCAAGTATCTTATAGTATGAGTATCATTTCAAAGTAAGTAAAAAAGCACCAAAAAACAAGTTTTGTGATTACAATTTCAAATGTTTCTTAGTTTGTAAACTGTAATGCGCTGTTCGTTTCTTATCTTTGAATGGCAAGGACTCCTTCTTTAATTGAGCGAAAGAGGCTGTATTGATTAAGCACAGTTGTTCGTTCCTTCATTGTAAAGCGTTTTCAAAGAACCTTCATGTCCATTTTGTAGAGCAGAACCTCCGATGACAGTCTTAGAAGCCTTGGCCAACAGGCCTGAAAGAGTCCCGCCACCAGAAAGGAGGCAATTCAATTGGGTGGCAGCCCAGCGCCACAATGCCTATCTCCACTTTCTTTTCCCAAAACAAACGTGAAGCCATTCAAAGGTTTCGATTTGTCTTAGAAAATTTACTGGCCATAAGTATTGGAACTCTCACAAAAATGTTTTGTAAGAATAAAAACAGCAAAACAATATTTTCGTAGGTGGGATAAAGAATACCAGGTTGGATATGTAAATCCCAACCAGGATCCCAGGTAGAATGCATAAGTCCCACCTAAGATCCCGGGTGGGATGCAGGAATCTTGCATTAAATGAGGGATCCCAGTTGGGATCAAATTTTCATCCCAGGTGGGAAAGGTGGGATCCCACCACCTAAGGCGGGATCCCGCCATTCCCACCTGGGATCCTGGGTGGGATTGCCGGGATCCCGCCTATATCCCGCCGAACATTTTACCTAGGTTGCTTAGGTTTTTTTTTTCGTCGTTGCTCTTTGTAAATTTTGCTAAGGTTTTTCTTGCGCCCTTACCTTTTTCCTTGCTTGCTGTAAATTTCGCTTAGGTTTCTTTCTTTCGCATTTGCTTTTTTCCTTGCTTATTGTAAATTTCGCTTAGGTTTTTTTCTTTCGCATTTGCTTTTTGTAATTAACTTCTTGTAAAAATAAACTTTTTTGGTGATGATAAACTTTTTGTAATAAACCTGTTGAAAGTTTATTTTTTGTGTGTTTTTATTGTTCATGTGCTTAAATGACAAAAACTCTCATATGGATTACAAGTTTGTTTGTTTTTTACTGCGCTTTAAGATTTTTTATCGCGCTTTAGTGTTGAAAAATTCTCTCACGACCTAAAAACCTTTCCTTAAATTGAAAAATGTGCGGTGTTTGACGAATTAGATGTTTTAAATCATATTTACATTTTCTGCGCACGCGCCTTGCCTAAAAAAGACTCCCACATGGATGACAAAATCCCTCGTAGACACATATACATAATCCACCAAATATACATATAACTGTCATCTAGTGATGACATGCAGGAACACGTCAATACATGACGTCATGAATATGGTGATACTAATGGTAATGTCAGTTCCTTGGGAATTATTAGCTACTGTTGTTCTATTGTTCTTGGGTGTGAAGTCTATTGTTCTTAGTGGTCACGTGTGCGATATCCGGTTCTGTGATTGCTTACCCGGTATGTTAGCGTCCTATACTACTATAACGCTTTTGTCAGCGTTATTGCACCAAAAACGTTTTTTCCGATGGTTTGCTTTGAATCAAGCAGTTTCTAGCTTTATCTCAAAAAGTGCTTGGAGCTTCATCTCATGAAACACAGCGTCTTTGCTCTTTTGTAGCCAAAATATCCTGATTTATGGTATATCTCACTCCAAACAACGTGTTTGCTTTTCTAGTGCTAAATTACGCCTTGTATGTTGCTTAAGCCTTTCAGCGACAACAGACAGAAACCTTTTTCCAGTGCAAAATTGCTGAAAACAGCGTAATTCAGCACCAAAAAGGAAAAACCTTGTTTTGAGTGAGATATGGCTAGAATCAGCGTGATCAGCTGGAAACAAGCGAAAACCTTTTTCCGGTGCAAAAACGCTGAAAGCAGCGTAATTTAGCAAAAAAACAGCAAAAGCCTTGTTTGGAGTAAGATACAGCAAGAATCAGGCGATTAGCTGTAAACAGGCGCAAACCTTTTTACAATGCAAAAAAGCTGAAAACAGCGTAACTTAGCAACGAGACAGCAAAAACGTTGTTTTGAGTGTGATAAAGCTAAAATCAGTGAATTGGCTGCAAACAGGAAAAAAACGTCTTTTTTTGCGAAAAAGCTAAACTCAGCGTAACATCAGCAAACAAGCAGAAAAACAAGAGACTCGGATACACAGTAAGGAATGGCACGATTCCACAAGCTCTGGAAAACTTTGTATTTTTTCTCCACATTTCTATTTATTGCATCTATATCTTCACTTCATTATGATGTTAATGGAGTTCCCGATACTTTGCAGGACTTAAACGAAGATTTGGCAATTTTTTCGACGAAAATAGATGAACTGAACTTGTCTGAGGCTATCGCACGTGGTCGCCATTTTGAATCTAATTTCCCTTCTGCTAGAACAAGAAGACTTCACCAGGCCAGGGTTATTTATTATTCAAATTCGTGTGCTACACACAATGTGGAATAATTATTGATGTGTGGAGACGTTCAAGCTAACCCTGGTCCTTGTCGTAACAGCACTGGACGACCTTACTCTGATAACCACCAGACCTCGGAGAATATTCTTGGTTGTATATTACTTAATGCAAGGTCAATCTGCAATAAGCTGAATGAGTTCCATGACTTAGGTAAAATGAGAAATGTGGACATAGTAGCAGTTACCGAAACCTGGTTTCGTCAGAGAATATTGGACGCAGAAATTCTCGACTCAAATTATATTACTTTTCGTCGGGATAGACCAACTAGATCTGCGAATGACAACTCAACAATACTTGATTTACTTATCACTTCTGTTCCTGAATTTGTCAGAAACATTACAATTCTCTCAGGGGAATTTTCCTCGGAGCATACGCTAATTACTTTTGAAATCATTATTCTACTGAAGTGCATCAAGCCATTGAAACGTTATGTTTACAACTATAAGGATGCTGATTTTAACGGATTAGGAGAACTCTTAAATTATATTCCTTGAGATGTAGTTTACGAAGAAAATGACACGTATTTTTCAACTTTCAAGTGAGCGGATCTCTTTTTGCAGCTGTTAACGATTGTGTCCCCAAGATTGAGATAATAGTGCTCCATGGATTGATGCTGAAGTTCTTAAAGCTGTTAGAAAGAAAGAGAGACTTAGAAAGCGGGCCAAAAAGTGATCCTCCGAATATTACTGAGCAATATTTCGATTGCATCGTGCGGAACTCAAATCACTTATTAAATGGAATCATAAGTAATATTTCAAAGGTCTGTCACCAACTCTGACAGAAAACCCTGAGCGATTCTGGGCTTATTATCAAGCTAAATACAAGAATAAAAGAATTCCAACATATTTGGAATACAACGGAGTGAAAGTCTCTGATGCTGAAGAAAAGGCAGAACTATTCAATAACTACTTTAATTCAGTACAAGAGAGAGATGATTGTGTTTCCCTTCACGAGGACCATTTTTCAGTGACTTCAAAGTAGGTAGGACAGTTAAACAGCACAAATTGCACAATTTATTAGATTAGGTAAAGTGTCCCTTTTGTTATAAACAAATCAAGGAACGATTAGTCATAGTAGAAAAATGTTGGTAGAAGTGGTGCTTGGAGAATAAAGACTATGTGACTGTGTGCACTAATTGTGGGAAAGTCGATGACTTTGAACCAATCAAAGAGTTTTGTAGCTTCCACGATGACAATTGTAAAATAATAGTTCGGTCAACATATTTCAGGAAATACTATCTTAGTAAGTTAAAATTTAAACTAACCAAAAAGTATAACATATCCACAAAGAATAAAAATAGGATCATACCAGACTTAGAAAAGATAAGCAATGTATTACCACTAATCAATGGTAATAGAAGGCGGATGATTAATATCAATTTCATCATGACATTAAATAATATGCAAATCAGTATCGATTACATAAAAATAACCAAATAAAAAAAAAAACCATTTAATATTATGACAACCACTGGAACAATATATTGGGACTAATTAATGACATCAACAACATAATGCTCGATAAATCATTTATTACAAGTAAATTATTTCTTTTACTGTTGCTCAAAGGCATCAATCAATGAACACATGTCTATGGTAATATTATCTACAGCTTTTAGTAGGTCCAAATAACGTTCTTTATCAAATGACACTCTTCTTAAAAAAGGACCTTAACTGAGTGAGTGTCTTTACTAAGATGGTAAATGCAAATCGACATAATTCGATCTTCTTCTTAAAATCTTTATTTCTCAGTATGTTTTTAATATCAAACTAGTACCAGGTATAATGCTAAGTACGATGGGATTCGTTGTTTCCCTTCCAGACAGCTGGATTCCAGGAAGTGATAGGTATTATGTGAAAAAGCCAGCGCAAAATTACCACGTAATAATAACAACACAGAATCACTGATATCTGATGGATATGCTTTGAAAGTCTCAAGTGCTATACTACTATCTTAAATAGCTAAACCACTTAAACTAGATTGTGCAGTTTGTGCAATTGAACATTTAAGCTAGTTATTTATTTTGTGCAGCTGAACTTTTAGTTCAGTTGAACCATTTTTACTACCTCAATCAATTAAGAAAGATTTTGCAATCCGTGCAGTTTAACTGTCTTCTGCGGTTTGACTATTTTACAAGTCGAATCAATTAAAATAAATTGACTATTTTAAATGCTTCAAGAAACTTAACTAAGTTGTGCAGTTTCTGCCGTTTAGTCACTGAAGTTACTTTGACCATTTAAAGTACTCCAACCAGTTGAGATATACTGTCCAATTTTTCTCAGTCGACCTCCGACTGTTAAAAAGTTGAACCATTCCACCTAGACTGTCAAAATTGTGCACTTGAACTAATAAAGTTAGTTATACATTTTAATCAGGTCAACCATTGAAGCTTGTCTGACTATGTGAGGTAATCGGTTCGGACACAAACTGGCATAAGTTGTTGAAGTTGGCTGCCTGTCCCTTGTTACTCCTAATCCTGCCAACTCCTTCCGTCCATTTACTGCCAAGGTATCTCGGCAGCTTTTTCCACCACTGACGCAGAGCATTGGCTGTGCTCAAGTCATTCATGGAATGCATGCCTGTTATGGCGTTCCTTGCTTGGTCAAGGGCAATAGAAAATTCTTGCAGCCCTGTTCCGTCATTAGGTTTCACAGCGGGCCCTGTTCGGTCATTAGGTTTCACAGCGGGCCCTGTTCGGTCATTAGGTTTCACAGCGGGCCAGCTCGATGGTTTCGTGATGTATACACTTGCAACCTTGTATGTGTTTCTGCAAACGTTTTCTAGCCACTTTCTATGAATCTTTACTCTTCATTTGTATACAACCCTGAAGCAGTTCCTTTACCTTTCCACTAGTGTATTGATCCAAAAAACACAAGCACTCACCAGGATTATCTACCTAAGATTCTATGAGAACTTCGAAGGCTGCTATGAATGATGGGTATGACATCACATCTCCAGAGAACATGGGCGGCTTGTGAATAGGTGACAGACTTCCGGCCTATTCTGTTAAAAATAATTTTTGACAGTTCTGCCTGTTTCCTTTGAATGTCAAAATAGTCTTGATCTGGTTTTGTACTTTCTACAGCGCTTGAATCCTTTCTGTAAACGTACATAGATCCTATCTTATCGTCATGATATAGCTTCGTATCGGGGGGAGTCCCATTGTCTTCTTCAATTTCAATTAATGCGAAGGTTTCTTGGATCAAACGGTTGGGCAGTTGGGTAGCAGCACTGACTGAGATGGGCGTGGTTACAGAAGTGGTCGTTGAAATGATGCTGACAATAGCTGATCTTTGGAATTTCACAGAAGGCACCTTTACTGTAGACTCACCATTAGGTTGTGCCTCAGATAAGATGGGAATGAAAGTCACTTTAGCTGGTACATTTTTCAAATAATCATTCATGCCATCAATGACTTGTTGTTCATCAAACTGCTCATAAGTTTTCTCTTCAGCCCTAGCCTCTGCAACTTGCATCCGAAGTTCAAGCTCCTCAGAGACCATTCTTAGCGCTCGCCTCCCCTAGAAGAATATTGCCTTAGCCTCTAATGCTGCAGCCTTAGCCTTTGCTTCAATTAACTTTAACTTAGTGGATGATGTTGAGAAAGTAGAGGGCCTTGAGTGACCGGATGATTAGATTTCACCTTGAATGAATCATGTAAATCACCACGCAACTTCTTTGCCTCACCCAGAAACTCAATAACACTTTGCTTTAATTGAAACACAAGCCTTATTACGACTCTTATACCATTGCTGAGCTCATTTGATCTCACCATCATCATTCGGGCAACTGAGATACATATCATGTGTGTCTTGCATTTTAACAAGAAACTTATCAAATTGCTCAACCTCAGTAGGCACTTGTTTTCCGCTCTCAAAATCTGCTAACAAGGGCGAGATTATGTTTATCTGCTAGTTAAGTTAGCGAGTACAGTTTTCCGAATTTCCTTTAACTTTTGAATCTCAAATTGCTTACCCTTTTCCGTTTTTTCGCGCATCCACGTGAGTTTCTTAAGCAACTACAGCACCGGTCAGTGGAGATATTGCACCTGGTGACCAACGGCGAGATTATTTGTTTTCCAGATCCATTTCACACCAGATGGCATCCTTTTCTGCATCGAAAGGATTTTCCTTTGGAAATCTCCCTCCCTGCCTCCTTTGTGTCCTTCCATGTATGATTCACTCTATGTCAAACTGTATCAGCCGTAAAATCCATTCTTTATTCCTCTAGATCAGCGAAACGCTCGTTACCATAACCATTAATCGACGAGTTTACACAATTTTCAATCCTTTAGCTTCCTTGTATGTTCCTTGACAAACGACAGCCCAGTATCTGGTTCCTTAGCCATATACAAGGGGAGTATGAACGAAGCGAAAGAAAAGGCTCAGTGCCGAGGTTTGGCCTGAACTGGAATGAACCTCGGTAAAATCACGTGACCTAAGATGTTCGGACGGACTGCTTCGATTACAAAGGATAACCAATGTCAGAAACTGGTATTTACAATATCTGCTACAACCTTGAATACCATTACCAGTTAATGGTTTTAATAACAAGGGCATACCAATACTTGCATGCAATGTACAAAGGAACCCACCACTTTGTTTCTTTGTCGGTTTGATGCCTCTGCAGTGCTCAACTGAGCTAACAGTTTATAACAGCGAAGATCGCTTTCACATTCACATCTTTATCCGTAGCTCAAATATATGACTTTCATACATTCACAGCCGTTTATTCACCACTTCACGGGTTTATTTGGAACCAACACAGTGATCAGCTCCCAGTTGACTTGTTAGCTCAGTTGTTAAAGCACTGCACTGGCATCGAAGAGGTCATGGGTTCAAAGCCCGTACAGGCCTGAATATTTTCAGGCCTTCTTTTCACTACGGCTTAAGTAGTGTTCATAACTGCGAAGATCGCTTTCATATTCACCTCAGTTTGACTGTTAAACCAGCTTAACCATTTCAGCTAGATTGTCCAGGTTGTGAATTTGAATTGATTAGGCTGGTTATCCATTGTTTTTCAATTGAAGCAAATAAGCTACTTTGACCATGTGAACTACTTCGACCAGTTAAGCCAGACTATGCAGTTTGTGCAGTTGATCCTATTGAGCTAATTATGCATTTTGTCCGGTTAAAGCCTTTAAGTAAGTTAAGCAACATGAACCAATTAAGATGGATTGTTCAATTTGTCCAGTTTGACCATGTGAACTACCTGTGTATATAACCACTGGACAAACTTTTCAATCAAGCTTAATTGGTTGACCAGGTTAAATAATCAAACTAGCAAAAACAGTCAGACTGCAGAAATTTCAAGATCTACATTGAATGGTTGAAGTAGTTAATACGATCAAACTACCTGAAAAGATTTAACTGGACAAAATGTATAACGAGCTTAAATGGTTACGCTGCACAACCTACCTTAATTAGTTCAACTGGTTAAAATGGTCAAACTATAGTTATATAGTTCAACTGAAAAAATTGCAAAAAGCGGAAAGAGTTAAACTGTAAAAAATGCAAAAATTAAGTGAGTTGGCTCAATTGGCTGTTTCGAGCTTTATGTAATGGGAAAAACAACGGTTTGGCTTTTTTGTTGCTAAATTATCCTGTTTTTAACCTTATCGCACCAAAAGGTTTCATACCACTGAAAAAAGTTTTTCGCATGTCGGCAGCTGATCACCCTAATTTTAGCTCTATTTTACTGAAAAAAAATTGGTGTTTGCTTTCGGTGCAATTAAGCTAAAAAATAACGACATTCAGCGGCAAACAACCGAAACAACGTTTTGAGGGAGATAAAGCTGAAATCTATGTGATTAGCTTCATGAAGGCAGAAAACCTCTTTTCAGAGCAATAAGCCTAATTTAACTGCAAACAAACGAAAACATGTTTTGGGTGCGAAAAAGCTGAGAAAAGTGTAATTTGGCCAAAGAAATGGCCAAAACGTTACATTAAGCGAGATAAAGCTTAAATCAGCGTGATTAGCTGCAAAAAAGCAAAAGGCATTCTTTTGAGTGCAATTCAGTGGCAAGCAAGCCAATTTAGCTAATTTTTCCCATTTTTTTTTGGGTTTCACTGTTTCGCTTGTTTGATGGCTTAAACCATTTGACCCAATTAGCTTTTTGGTGGATTTGTCCACAGGAGTCAATTGAGCCAACTCAGCTACTTTCTGCATTTTGTGCCGTTTGGCTGTTTCCGCTGTATGCAATTTTTTTTTAGCTTAACTGTCTCCTTGCTAGTTTGATTACTTAATCACTTGAGCTGTTTAAGCTGGTTATGCTTTTTGTCAAATGAAACTCTAACCCTAAGCTAAGTTTAACCATCCTAGGTACTTGGAAGTTGAACCACTGATGGTAGATTGTGCAGTTGAACCGATAAGATAATTATGCTTTTTGTCTAGTTGAGCCATATCAGCCACTTTGAGCACTAATTTTGGCTTTTTCTTATATTACTTCCTGAAATCCAAGTGTCTTTCTTAGTTTGACTCTTTAACCAACCGACCCATTTTAGCTACTCTGACTATTTAACGAGTTTAACTAATTAAGCTTGATTGCGCAGTTGGTGCAGTTGATGCTATTAAGCTAGTTATGCATTTTGTCCGGTTGAACCAATTAACCTACTTTAAGCATTTGAACTACATCGACCATTTGAGATAGTACAGTTAGTGCACTTTACTGTTTTCGCTAGTTTGATCATTTACAGGATTTTTAAACCCTGTCACCTTTTAAAAAAGATGACAAACGAGATTTTGGGTCTGATGGAAAGACTACAAGGCTACTGATTTCAATATGGCTGATGATTAAATAATCTATTTAGCCAAACCAATTGATGCTAAAGATGCTCAAAATAAATTTTATCTTAACACACAAACAAACAATTTATTGAAAACTGATTTGAAAAAACCGATGTCCACCGATTGTAATACGTCCAATTAAATAAAAAGTTAATTTAGCTACATTTACAAATGTGGATGGAGTTAAACAAGCGGCAACATCGGTATTTGTACCTGTATACTGTTTTAATTATGTAATGGATCATGATAATAAAAAGGAAGCCAAATTCTTAAGGTCAATATCAAAATATGCAGTTTCCAATGATTTACATTCCACAGTATAAAGTGACAAATTAACATTTGATGTGGATGGAACATATGTATTTCATTACAGATATGTTTGAGCGGGGCTTGCAACACATTTCTACCATAAAGTATATGATTCTTCCAGATGCATTGGTAGGCGCTACACAGAATTCACAGAAAACACAAACGATAAATAGATAGATGTTACATTTTTTGGGAATATCTGGAACATTTACTGGTCATTCCATATCACTCGGTGTACATAATGGCACTCTCGATGGTGGGCTTTATGCTCAATTAATGATGAAAAAACATCTGACTGATATAAACATATTGCATATGAGCTTCAAAAAGAAGCGTGTTATAAACTTCAATCATATAGCTAAATCACTAAAAAAAACAATAAATGAAACCACATTATTATACAAATACTCTGCTAAAAAGCTTCGGTCGGTAAAAAAAGCCCATACGAGGTTCAAAAACCGAAATCTGTCATGCAATTTGTCATCGTCCTTTTTATAGTAGGTGGTACTATAGCTGGAAGGGTATCAAAGAATCCCTTCGTACTTGGCATTTACCTGGTAATGGTTTGATATTAAAAACATATTGAGAAATGAAAGACTTTAAAAAGAAGATCGAATTATGTCGACTTGCCTTTACTACCTATGTAACGATACTCAATGACTTAAGGTCCTTTTTAAGAGGAGTGTCATTTGATAAACAGAGTTATTTGGACCAATTGAAAACTGTAGATAACATTGTCATAAACAGGTGTTCACTGGTTGATGCTTTTGAGCAACAGCACGAGAAGTAGTTTACTTGTGATGAATGATTTATTAAGCATTATGCTGTTGACATTATTAATTAGTCTCAATACATTGTTCCAGTAGTTGTGATAATATGAAAGGGTGTTCTTTGATCTGATTATTTTCATGCAATCTATATTGATTTGCATATCATTTAATATCAAGATAAAATTGATATTAATCAACCGCCATCTCTCTAAAGACAGCTATTTTACTAGTTAGTGAGACTATCCAAAATAACTTAACTGCACAAATTGCACAACCTATCTTAACTGGTTAAACTAGCTCAAATGTTCAAACTAGCTTCAATTGTTGAAGGGGACAAAATGCCTATTTAGCTTAATAGGTTCAACTGCACAAACTTCTCTATCTAGTTTAACTGATTATAATGGTTAAATAACCAAACTAACGAAAAACGTAAGAGTGCACAAATTGCACTGTCTATCTCAAATTGTCGATGTAGCTCAAATGTTCAGGCTGGGTTAATTGGTTCAACCCGACAAAGATAGGATCAACTTCACCAATTTTACAATGAACCTTAATTGGCTAATCTCGCTAAATAGTCAGGGTAACCAAGACAGCTGAACAACTGAAAAAATTGTACAGTCTTTCCTAATTGGTTCACGTTGTTCGAATTGCCATACTAGGTTCAATAATTAGCCTATAAAAAAATGGATAACTGGCTTAAATGGTTGAAATGCTTAGATAGCGAAACCAAGGAGGAGAGCTAAATTGCTTGAAATAGTGCAATGGTCGAACTACCTTCAATAGTTGAAGTTTATATGGTTAAAGTGGAAAAAACCAGTGAGTATCTTAAATTGTTCAACCGGCTTAATGTTAATTGGGTGATTACAGTTAAATAGCACAGACTGCACAATCTATGTTAGTTGGTCGAAGTAGTTTACATAGTTAAATTAGCATAAATAATATCAATAAATAATAATATCATGCATAAGCATGATATGCACTTTGTCCAGTTCAACCGCTTCAGCTAGCATCAATTTGTCATATGAGACAGTTTGACTGTTCTAAACTACCTCGATCAATTAAGAGACGTCATAAAATTTGTGAGGTGACTCTGACTACTTAATCATATGAACTAATTAATCTAGTTTGATTATGTTAACTAGCTAAAGCAATTAAACTTGATGGTGCAGTTTTTGCAATAGCTTAAATGGGTCAACTAGCTAAATGTCAATCGAGTGATAAAAGTTAAGCTGAACAAATTGCACAATCTATCTTAGTTAGTCAAACTAGATGAAATGGTTGAACTGAAATAAAATGGATAACTAGCTTAATTAGTTCAACTGCACAATCTGGACAATCTATCTGAAATGGTTCAAGTGGTTTTACAGCCAAAGTTGAACTGAGAAAAATTGCACAATCTATCTGAGCTTGTTGGAGTACTCTAAATGGTCAAATCAACTACAATGATAAACGGCAATCTAGCTAAATGTCTTAAAGTATTTAAAATGGACAACTATTTTAATTGATTCGACTAGTAAAATGGTTAAACAAGGGAAGACAGTGAAACTACAGATATTGCAAAATCTTTCTTAATTTGAATTGTAGAAGTAGTTGAATGGTTCAATTGCACAAAATGCATTGCTAGCTTAAATGGTTCCATTACACAAACTGCATAATCTAGCCTAAGTGTTTTAACTATTTAAGATAGGAGTATATTTTACTTGGGGCTTTTAAGGCATATTTACCAGATATCAGTGATCTTGTGTTTCAATTATTGCGCGGTAATTTTGCGCTGGCTTATTCATATAATACCTAACCTTTCCTAGAATCCAACTTTCTTCCCTAGTTTGACTATTTAACCAGTTGAACCATTTAAGCTAGTATGGCCACTTAAACAACTTTATCAATTACGGTAGATTGTGAAATTTGTGCAGTTTAAATGTCTCAGCTACTTTGACTATTAAACCTGGTTAATCAATTAAGCTTTATTGTGCAGTTGGTGCAGTTGATGGCATTGTTTCCTGTTGAGCCAGTTTACCTAGTTTGACCATTTGAACTACATCGACCATTTGAGATAAATAGTGGACTTTGCGCACTCTTACTGTTGTAGTTCAGTTTAACCAGCTTAACTAAATTGAGAGGTTTGTGCAGATGAATTTATGAAGCCAGTTATGCATTTTGTCCCGTTGAACAACATAAGATAGTTTGACACAAACTTAACAATTCTATCTCCGTTGGTTGCAGTAGTTCAAATGATCAAACTATGCTTAAAAGGGTCAACTGGACAAAATGCACAACTAGGTTAGATAGTTCAAACGGTAAAATAGTCAAACTATCACAAACCTAATGACTGTACAGTCTACATCATCTGTCATTTGGTTAGACTAATTCAGATGGTCAATCAATCTGAAATTGTTCGAATGGGCAAAATTCAAAACTAGTTGAATGGTTAAACTCAACAAAATGCATAGGTAGCTTAAATGACTCAACCGTCTAAATATAAATCAAGTGATAACAGTTAAACTATACAAATTGCACAATCTATATTATTGCTGGAAGTAGTTCACATGGTCAAACAATCTTAAATGATATAACTGGAGAAAACGCATATGTAGCTTGATAGGAACAACTGAACAAACTGCACCGACTGCACATTCTGGCCTAATTGGTCGAAGTAGTTCACATGGTTAAACCAGCTTGAATACTTCAACCGAACAAAGTGCATAACTAGTGTAATCCATTTAACTGCGCAATTTGAAAATTTAGCTCTAATAATTCAACTGGTTTAACAGTCAAACTAAGGTCAACTGAGAAAAAATTGTACAATATATCTTAACTGGTTGAAGTTCTTTAAATGGTCCAATTAACTTCAAGGAATAAGAGGCACAAACTGCAGAATCTAGCTGAATTGCCTGAAGTAGTTAAAATGGCCAAAATGTTTTATTTGGTTCGACTAGTTAAATAGTCAAACCAGCCAAGACAGTTAAACTGCACTGAGTGCAAAATCTTAAAAATGTTAATTGGTTGAGATAGTCCAAATGGTAAAACTGCCTGATATGGCTCAACACAACAAAATGCATACCTATCTGAATCGGCTCAAGTGCACAAACAGCACAATCTAGCTTCAATGGTTCAACTGACAAGTACTTAAGGTGGTCAAACTTAGCTTAGGGTTGGGGTCTGATCGGACAAAAAGGATAACCAGCTTAATTACGCTCTCCTTAGTTGCATCGCTTTAAAGAGGTGTTTTTGCTTGCTTGCAGCTAGGCACGCTGATTTTCGCTTTATCTCACTTGATACAACATTTCGGTGACTTTTTTCGGCCAAATTACGCTTTTCTCAGCTTTTCGCACTTAAAACATGTCGGTTTGTTTGCAGCTAAATTGGGCTGTTCTGGGCTTGATCTCACGAAAAGCAACGTTTTCCTTTTTTTTTTCCTAAACTACGCCGTTTTTGGCTATATGACACCGAAAAGATTTTTCTGTTTGTTTGTCTCTAAATTTACACTGTTTTTAGTTTTAACTCACTGAAGACTAAGTTTAAAGCTTCTATCCAGCCACATGCAGCCAAATTACGTCACTTAGATTTATCTCACCGGAAACGCTTTCCCGCTCGTTTGCCGCTGAATTGAGCAGCTTTAAGCTTTATCACAGCCAAAAGACGTTTCCTGCCTGTTTTCAGCTAATCACCCCTAATAAATCTGCAGATCATACCAGATCATTGGTTCATATACACAAGTACCATGAGGTAACACTCTGTTACATGATGATGGATTTAGGGATCAATGGAGCCATCTGGTCACGGCACACAAAATCGAGTACAATGAGGACGTTAAAAAGAACGAGCGCATTTATTCGATTTCAACGTACAATGAGCTCGATGCCAACGATCTTTCGTAACATCGTGTCCGTTGTCTAACAACGTGCTCGATTTCAGCTTTTCCAAAATTGTTGATTAGATCGTTTACGATGCGAGCCAAGCGTTGACGATGTACTCGTCGACACCCAAATCGTCGACCGATGATGTCTACATTGAATCGTATCAAAGGAGCAAAAGTACAGAACGTGGTTCTACGAAATTTCAGTCAACATTTCACTTGATTTTCTTATCGTAATATCTTTGATAACACAGAGGAAAGTAGAAAATAGAGCAATAAAGCGTGGGAAAGGAAGAATGCAGCCAACAGTATTTGATGATGGGTGTTCCGAGCGATTATTTGGGAAATAAAAGAGAGGCACAAAGAATGATTCTTCAAAGACCTGCAGTTTATTATACATTCATGGGCGCTTCCTTAGGTAAAATCACATGAGCACGTTTCCTTGATAAGATTTTCCCTCACAGGTTTTTCTAGATGTTGAACATGTATACGGAAAAAGTAAAAAAAAAAGTAATTGCATTTTTCCAAAAACTAACATGCTTGATTTTACCGAGGAAAGAATTATTGCATCACCTTAACTATCAACAAAATCAGTACATTCTATTCCCTCCTTTACGATTCTCGTTGCGATATATTAGCTTTAACACATGATACTTCAAAAGTGGTTTAATTTGTTTTCCAGCCTCAGGAGAACTTGTTTGTCCTGTCCTGCAATATCCCTAAATATTGTGCTTGGCGGGACTAAAATTGAAACATTCTCTCTGCTAAACATCCGGATCACAACGCCGGCGTCTCTTTCTTAGGTAGTGAGTATGCTCTGGTTGGAAAAATAAAGACAAAACATTATATACTCTCAGGATTGGATACGGCCAAAAACTAACGAGACATTGCAAGGTCAGTGCGTTTTATTGAGAACAGCATGCAACAATCATAATAAAAAAAACATCCATGGGGCTCGTATCTTAATAATCGCAACTTGTCACGGTTAAAAGCTCCAGTAAGTCTCGGCAATCATTACGATCGCAATAGACTCATGGATTCCTACAACAAATCTTCGTCACAACTTCTGCAAGATGCAGGGCTGTACCCAATTACTAAGTAGAAGGTGGTAGAGATCACTACTATTTGTTGGCTCACCCCAACGCATCTTGAATTGTCTACCGTCAAAACAATGATTTTTCCGGAGGGTTTGACCAACTTCACGGAGATATGGTGTTCTTCTCTCTAAAAGAAACTATTGTTCAGTGAGCATCAGATTGTTACAAGTAGGTCGCTTAATTAATTTTCTTGACAAATTTTTAAACTTCGCAAATGCTGGAAACTTGAAGCAGCCACCTCAATTTGACTTTGGTACGAATACTCCAATTTAACCTTCGTCTGGTCCTGTTTTATCCAAAACTTCGTTGGGTGTAATATCACGAATTTAAAAAAAGAAACGGAAAAAAGAAGAAACTTTTGCCATTCATAACTCGTCTTAAGCTTAAATCTTACCCAGATACAGCAGTTTACGCTTACATGCAAAATACGTTATACTCTGACAATAAATTAGTCTTAATTAAGTACCTGCGGAAAAGAACGATTGCATTCGGAAAAAGCGCATCCATCTGCTTCTACTTCTGCCACTGCTGCCACAGCATGCCCTACCCAATGCTGTAACTGTCAAATACCATGATGAGAGAACAACCTGCATATTTAGGATTATGTAAGAAACAACTTCCATTTACTTTACTGCATAGAAAAAGCTTGAATTGTTGTTTTCCTTTGTTAACAAATTACATAGAAGAAAGTATAGAATATATGAAGTTTACTGTAGGTATACCTTTGTGAGAGATAGCCTTTAAATGGTGGAGGTTCATTGTGGTGTGTCTGATTACCTCCTCTGCTTTCGATTTATCACCTAGAGATAAGACAATTAGACTTTTAAAGTATCAAGGCTGGTCACTTTCCTCTAACGAAACATGGAGGCATGCACCAACAGCATCATTTACCTGACAACCACGCAGCAATGACTTGGCGTTTGGTAACACCTACTTGTTGCAGAGTGAAGACATAAGCACCACTCAGGGGACCTGGATCTTCACCAACACGTTCTTATGTGACACACAAGGTGATATGTTAAGTGCCACAAGGACCAAATAGCTGCCAACATATTTGTTAGTTGTGTATCCTCGTTAAGTGTCCTTTGGAATAAAAGGAATATCCTTCAATCCATAATGAGAAACAATACGAGACTAGAAGTGTACATATTAATATTTGGAAAATTACTAAACAGTCAAGGGCCCAGCGCTCACTAAAATTTGCGTTTTGAGCAGGAAAAAAAAAGAAACATCTACATCATTCATCTTTGAATAGAAATTTTCACAAGAGGTGGAGTATTTTTCTGTTAATTAAAGCTAAAAATAACTACGTTTACTCCTGTACTTCTGGCATGTTCTGTTTAGGGCACTTTTAATAACAATTTTTTACTTTGTTTGATACTGTTTAGCCTACCTGATGACATTGACACTCTCATCAAACAAGACCACCACAATTGGTGTCAGGTCTTGGTGGCTCTATACAACAGCCTAAAAAAATCAAAGAAAGATGGTTAAAAGGAGGGCTGCAAGGTAAATACATCCATGCACAAATTAACACTTTCATAAATTTCAAATGTAAATGGACATAGGGTCCACATTAATCATCTCTCAAGGAGGAGGTACAGCAGTTGGACCTGCTGTAAGGGTCCTTCAATATCTGACAACAATTTTTCCACCTGTCAATCAGGGACCTTTACAGATGAGAACAACCTCTAATTATGATCTGCTTGTCTCCACTGCCTAACCATTTCATAGAGGGGTAAACTAGTGTATGAAATCCGGACTGAACACCCATTCTAGTGTTTCATTTAATTGTTGCTGGCTGGACAACTTGGTATAAATTAGCTTCTACCTTTCATAGAATGCCAAAAAGTGCTGAATAAGAGATCAAATTACATCAAATGACATTTGTTTTAAGAAAGCTTATAATACTAAAAAAAAAATTTTAAATGCCCTCACCAAAGACTCCAGCACCCTCTATGGCTTTTTGGCGACTCGCTTCTCCTCCTATCAAGATTGAAAAACAGATATCAACCAAGGCAATAATTGTAATCACCTACATCTTGTAATAATCCAGGATCAAATCATATAAGTTGCAAAAACATTGCCATAAAAAACTAATTTAAATAACCATATAGGAATGTATAACAAGCATTCTTACAACAGCTTGTAGCACTCACGGTTCACAAGTGAACAGTATTAATGTGTATTTGCTACTATTTTGAGGGTTTCATGCATTTTCAGCTTGTGGCCTTTCTCGCTTTCTGAATATAACTTTTAAAATTTAGTGATAAATCTTTGCTGATTGGTCTGAATACAGATTTTCTGGGGGAGACCAATTAAAATAGGAAGTTGCTCAGATTCTACCTTGCCAAACAGACCCTTCAATTTTGTTATTGAAAGTTCCAAAACTCAAAGGGACTCAAATAAGGGAAAATACTGTATATTGTGTCAATAGAGGGAAATATTTTCCATCAGGTAAATTTGTATCCATACCAGACTGGATGTTCTCACTTATTTGTTTTATATCTTATTTATTTTATATCTGTAAAGGTATAATTATAAGTAAACAGATTTCTAACTTCAGATGCATAATTGATTCTTAGTAAATTCAAACCTTCTAAACCCACAGCCCTGGTAGAAGAAGCTAAAGAAGAAAAACAGCATTCATCGTCAAAAGATTCAGGTGTGCTGAAACGACAAAAGCCTTTACTACTAAGACAAAAGAAATATCAAATAAAGAAAACTAAGCTGAACAATGAAGCATACACCTGCCCCCCCAAAAAGCAGGGAACTATTTTTCAGTTCAACTCAAGGATGTACATTTTAAAAAAATCAGGTTCTTGCAAAAAACAATTCACTCTTCAATAAAGTTTATCTTTATTTCAAGTGAAATGGTCAAAACAATAAAATTCAACTACAATGAATGCTGCTTTAAGTGATACTTTCACAATTTTGGGTTTATGACAAGACATATCTGTGTTGCCAATATATTTGTTCATACCATAGTTTCCTTTCAATACATCTATGATAAATGTCTGGGCTGCAGCAGAACAAAAAAGCAGTCAGTTGTCAATTGCTCGGTTACTAGAGACATACATCTCATGCAAATTATTCAGTACTGTTTGGAATCAGCAGGAACACACTACAATACAAAGCAATTATTTGTGGTATGGAATCTTTAACTAATTGCAAGAAATGTATACCTTTTGAGGAAATTTATTACTTGTAAGGAAACAGAGGACAAGGTACACTTATAAGTATTCCTGTAACTATTCACGCAAGGACAAAACGATTAAAGTAATGCATCAGTCTGATTGTTAAAACTGTAATATGATTGTGAAGCCATCAATCATAACAGAAATGCCTAGAATGCAAGTGTAAAGCCGTACCTTCCATGTAAGCACCTATGTACTTATTAATAAATGCTACACAATGCACAGTGTAAAAAAAAAGGACATTTGCCCACTTTTCATACCAGGCAGTTGGTTATGAGATCTAACAGACACTATTTGCAGATCTTGGGAATTGCTTTTATGGCTGAGACCCACACCCTGTCCTGTAGACATCAATATAGACAACAGCGTAATGCATTTAATAATCATAATACCAATAATGATAAAAATACAAATTTTATAATTCTTTAAACAGATGGCCCATTTGACAAAATGGTTTTCAACAGAGGGCCATAAAAATGAAACAAAATAACGTCAGATAATAAAAATACAATACAATACGACAGACTTGGTAAAATTGAAAACGTACTTTTTTCATCTTAGCCTATCATAAAATAGTTTAGCAACTAAATTTAATAGCTGAAGTAGCTGCATGTATTTGTTAACATAATCTAATTTGTACCACATTTTTTAAGTACAGTACATCCAGTTGCAACTCTGTTGGATCAGTCTTAACAGTTTTTTTTACAAAATACCCATATATAAGTGAAGGGAATGGGAGGGTTTGGAAAAGACCACAAAAAAGAATGTTTTTTGCTCGTGCTTTATTATTCCTGGATCGAAAGAGGAAGTTTGAAAAGTGTGGCCCACAATGAACAACTCAGGTTACTTGTTACTCAAAGGAAGAAATATCATGAATGAGAGGCTTTTCCAATCTGACATCAGAATGGTCTCAGAAGAAAGCTTTTCGTTTTAAACATAACTTAAGATTTAAAAATCAGATACACTGCAGGTGAACAAATCATATCTTCAACCGTTTCTGAGATGGGCTATCCCTTGCTTGAGTGACAGGCAGTATATGACCAGCTAAGCAACTTAGTTTTATAGATCAAAGGTAACACTTGATTGAGGGAGTATGCTGAGATGATAGCCTGCAGTGCAAGAGTTTTTTGATGTTAGAACGCTCATCTATCCGAAAGGTTATATGAACGGCACCATTTTAGACGTTGAAAGCAGTTCGGTTCGTCTTATTTTAATTGGCGTTGTTCCGTTTTGTTTTTCATTTTCAATTCGATGTTTCAACTCCTCCTGTTGTGCAAAAGAAGGGTTGCTTGCTACTATCCAGGACTCAGTGGAAACTTTGAGTGAATTTCCTGCAACGAAGACGAGAAACTCCATTTTTTGTCGTCCAAACAGTTGGCATTTTTGACTCGCTAACCACAGAACTATCTGTCGTACTTCCGGTGTTATCCAACCGAAATCAGAGAAATTGCGCTATCGTACAGACAATTATTATTGAGTTCGACCGATAGCAAACGGTGAAACAATGGGCAAAGTTCACTCGTCAAATACTGTCAAATTGAATGTGCGGTGCTTTTTCACGGAAACCGTGAACACGCGTCAGCAGTTCTACAAAAAAAAAAAGTTACGCTACTTGGGCTTCTAGACCGCCTGCGGAAAATTTTTGATGGACATTGTCGATTTTAATAACCCGATTCCTGATCAGTTGCAATGTCCAGTTTGGTAAGGTTCGCTATCTTAATACTACAAAATGTCCAGGCAGAGATGAAACGAGTTATTCAACCTAACGATTGAAATGTACATTAAGTGGACCACCAAACGTGCATTGATTACTTGGATAATAAGCGTTTCACGGGGTTTTTTTAACGTTGTGTTTAATTTTATTGTTCTAATTAGAAATTTCGCGGTGGTTAATATGACCTAATGTATCGCTTGTGGTCAGAAATGTCTATAAAACTCGTACTAAATGCTTAGTTCCAATCGCTTGCGAGTATTGTGTCTTCGTTTAGAATTGTCAAGCGATTTACTTCGTGGCTGACCATATTTGCGAGTCCAGTTAGTATAGAATGAAATCGCCATCATTCTCAACACTTAAGTGAAATCTTGCGGTGTCAATTCACGTGCTCGGGTTTAAGAAACATAAGTGCCCTGCAGTCTCAAATTTTTATCAAAGTTGAACGGGAAGTATCGTGTTGACCTCTGTACATATTATGTTCTTTTAGAATTGTTGAGCAATTTCAAAAAGTTTAATGGAAATGTTGAGCTCCAACAAGCCATGATTTGACTCACAAGGACATTCTCGGTAGTGACACTGTTATAGTCTTGCTAAAACTGTGCCCGTGAGCGGAGCCATAACATTTTTGTAAGTGACGAGCATATGGTGATTTCATGTTATGTCCAAGCTCGCAAAATAGTCAGCCGCGAAATCCTCTTCCTTTTATGAATCGCTTGACAATTCTAAACGAAGTTACAATGCTTTAAACCAATTAGACTTGAGCATTTCGTAGATACTTTAGAGAAATTTCTGACCGCTAGGCAATTAGTCTCTATTACACCCTTCCCAGCTTCCGGGCATTTCTCAACTACGTTCAAAACATTTGTCGTGAACTGTGTTTATTAAGGGCAATATGCCATACACACTTTGTAAATGACCTATTGGAAACCGTCTCTAAAATTTTCTGTTTGAGTTAAGGTTATTCACCTCTGCGACACAATCAAGTTTGGATATAGTTGAGTGTACATGTCCACTATCCGTCAGCCTAATGCACTGATGTTTTAAAAACTGTTTTAGTTACGAGCTGATGATAACTTGCTACTTGGTGTCAAAGTGTGGCCAATCAATTTGCGGTTCGGGCCATAGCAGACAATAGGAACAAGTTGCGACAAGATGTCCAGTGTGCAATACTACTTTGTTATGTTACATTCCGAACATCGCTCTCAGAAATGCAGCAAGAGCTTTAAATTGCACTTGTAAATATTGCAAAAGTTCGCTGATAGCAGAGGATATCTTAACCCACCAGAAGAGGTGAGGCGAAATTCCTGTGCAGTGTAATACATGCCCTGAAAAGATTGCGAGGAATCAACTAAGCTTACCCTTCTGTCCAAACGAAATGTCTAATTGCGCGTGTGGAGCCAGAGTAAGGAGGGTGGATATGCATCGCCACCGAACACAGCTCTGTCCTTGCCTTCCCGCTTCTTGTCCCTTAACATGTGGATTAGAACTTGGGAGGTACTTTGCATCTCCTTTTTTTTTTTTCGGTATTTTACAATTAGGCTGATGTAAGGCATCAAGAGACCTCTACTTCGGTTAGTAAGTTTTTGTGAAAGTTTTCCCCACTAAATATTCCCGCTAGTGGTGCTTATATACGTTCAGTGTTAAAAAGTAGCGGCTACATGGTAGCCGCTCTCACTGGATGATTAAAAAGCATTATAGGGAAAGCCTTCAGGTGCGTATTTCGTGCCAGGATTCACGGAAACGCAGTTAAATAGGCGGAGTATTATGCAGTTTTATCACAATGCTATGTGTAATTACTTTCAATATATGATCTAACCGAAGCATGGCAAACTGAAGAAATAGTTGTCCCATTGTCTTTTGACAGAAAAGATGTTCCATTTCATATGGTTATTTGTCCAAAGCGTATTGTCCAGTGTGGTGTTCCTGGTTGCCTTGATGTGATCCGACAATCGGAAATGGTGGTACATATCAGAGACAACGCAAGAAAACACTTGGGCTTATATGCCATTGACGAGCAGGCAAAGGTATGGTCTCTAAAGGAAGTAAGAATATTGCTTCTAACGATAGTAAACTAATTTACACATCATACAGTGTATAGGACGGATTCATTGCTACGAACGTTCTAGAACGAAAGTAATTGCATGGTTACTTTTCCAGAGCTTAACAATTTTTTGCCAGCTCCCCAAATAGTGTTGAGACGCACGCAAATCTCCAAGCAATCGCAATACTATTGCTTGGTTTTAAATTTTAAGAATTTATTTCCTCGGCTACATAGCGTATCGATTCGACTCTCTCTATTCATTTTTTTGATAGGCCACAGTCTACACGGAAATAAAGAGTAAAAGTGCCGTCGTTCTGACTTGGTTGGTGCCGAATGATTGGAAATGGCCCATCGCTTCTCCTCTGGTGCAGGCGTTTGATAGGGAATGGAGACTTGTTCTGACAAGAGGAAAGCTTTAGATCCAATATTACAGAGGGGTAAAAATTATACGAATTGCTTTCGCGTGAGTATAGTTCAAGGCCATTCAATAACATCCGATTCCACTCTGGTTTCTGTAAACCGAAGTTTCATTTGCAAGTCAAATATTTGAATCACTCACAACAGCCTAAACTTATTTCATTGAAAAGAAAGGCGACGATGCTAAGAAAGTTGTTATCAGTCGGGGCCACATAAAGTTGAGAGTTCCAACCCCAGAACTGGTGGATAAGCCTTTCCTAGGCGTTTTTAAAAAAGCAACAGAGATCTTTGTCCTAAACATGAATTTTAAATAGAAAAGAGTTTGAAGCAACTCTTTTGTGCAAGAACTTAAACTAAAAGAACCCGACTTTCACGCTTTCTTAGGTACTAAAATAAATCGACCTCCAATCAATGCTCCCGACATCTTCAGACACAGTCAATAATCCATTTTTCTTGGTTTTTCTCAAAAAATGGTATATTTCTTACTAATAAATATCTTGTTGGGTCGATTTGTTGGTTGAATTTAGCTCTGGTAGCACTATCTCGATTTTTGGGGCCATGTCACACCGTAATATTCACAAAAGGAATGAGTTGGACAAAATTTATAAACAGCCGTATTTGACAGTAAAGAAGAGGAGTCGCGATTTATGTTTTTTTGCTGAGTAACAAGTAAAAACTAGTATTCCTCTGACCTTGGATCAGTAGAAAGTGCAGAAGGATTTCCATTAAGATCTAAAATCAGAAATATGTCTAAGTATCAATGTATTTTTCAAAGCTTTCTCAGATTCCCGAAAGTCTTGGTAATCCGTTATCCTTTCAGTTCGTTGAGTTTGTTCACCCTTGTTACCCCAAAGCAACCTATGGATACTTAAATTTTTTTTTAACGTAAACCATTTGAGATGAGACCAAAGCCTCAACTTTATCACGTGCCTAAGTATAATTTTTACGGGGCAAAAAAATTTGGTTTGATCTCTTTAGTTAGCGTATCCAAAGAACTTCTGTTCTTCAACTCTGTGTAGCCACAAGAAGTAAATTTTTCCGCATATTTTTTCTAAATTCTGGTTATTTCATCATGTTTAGTTTGTTGTTTGAAATATTCGTAGTTTTTTTCTCTCGGCATTGCGTTACGTAATCGTTTATTGTTGGTTACGTAAATTCATTGGTTGTATTTTTTTTCTGGTTCAAATCAGTTATTCAGAAAAAATTGACCCAATCAATGAAAGAAGAACTTCTTTCTTTAGGACAAACCGTTTTCTATTTTTGCGAATGCCTGTTTTTCGATGGATGCTTATTTTCAAATGGTAGAAACCTCTAGTTTGCTAACGGCGGCAACTAGCGGTACTCATTTAATACTGTGAACTCGGATGGAGAGATTGTGCCTTATTTCTCCCTCATAGCCAGTTCTGGGAGAACTCAGCAGAAGGCAGGGGTATCAGCATGGCAACGCAAGAAGAAAAACGAAGGAAAATACTAGTATTACGAGTTGGGGGACATCTGATGTGAAAAATCAGATTCGTTCCCACAGTATCAGTAACCCAAGGGTCGCTCAATATCAATGTCAGAGGAACACACAAGCAAACCAATAAAAAGTGGTTCGTGCAGAGATGAAGACGATGAAGATATTGATGATGATGATGATGAACCCTTGAAGGAGTCGGATGGCGTTTAAGCATATCGGGATGTGCCCATTTATGCACAACATCAAGAGGTGAGATCCAATTGAGTGGATACTCCCATCGTCAACCACAAAAGCAAATAAATCTACATACCGGAGATGAGCTGCCCGAGGATCAACAGCTGAGAGAAGAAAGATAGATAGAAGGCTATCAAATATTGAAACAACAGCTTCCAGGCTATGAGTTGTAACAGCCATAAGATTTGTCCGCAGGGGTCGGGTCGCGGAAATTAGACGTCACGATGCGCAATATTGTATGGAACAAGGGCATAGAAGTATTACGAAAGATACAGAAGGCAGTTTTCTTGGAAACACTCACTACTCGGACTTCTAAAGTTGCAACCTGAAGGATAAATAACTAGAGACAGGACTGCAGGCACAATCTTTTTAGCTTTTAAAATTTTTCTAGATACACATAATTATTATATAGATATTTATATATTCGCTGTTTTTATTGTTTCTTTGTTTCTTACTAATTATTATTTGAAGTACATATATATGTTCGCCAGCCAGGAGGTCCGTGTTGGAAAAACTGTGCCCGAGGTCTTGAGTGGCGCACTCAAGACAAAGGGCACAGTTTTTTTCCAATACATAATTATTTATATACATTTCCCGACAAGCCTGTTTCGTGAATCGCTTCACTCTTCAGGGGTTTAATGAAAGAATATTCATGTGACTATCGTTTATATACTAGGAAAATTTACATAATACGCGGTAAACTTAAAAACTTTAAAGTTCAGCTGTTGCGTAGCAACACTTTGTTTCTGTGTCGGCATGAAGATACGAGTTCGTCACGCTTCTTTAGTGATGAGAGGTTGGGTCGGTAAATTATCAGGAATTTTTCTTTTAGGCAGAGGTTGCATCTTTTACTGGAGTTGTTGTAGGGAGAGTTAGATGATAAGACGCGCCATGAAATAGCATAGTCTATGTTGTCGTTCTTGAGTGTCCAGATTTGTTTGCTAAGTTCGGTAGAGTTTTTGTGCTTGGCGTGGCGGAATGATGCGGTGTGATTTCTGTGCCTTGTTTTGAAGTCGGTTTCTGTGAGTCCAATGTATGTTTCAGAGGTGTTGTTGTCGTTCCGTGTGACGGTGGCTTGATAAACGACTGAGGATTGTAGGCAGTTACCATTGAGCGGGCAATTGTTCTTTTGTCGGCAGTTGCATGTTTTGTTGGTTCCCGTGCCGTCTTTGTTGTCTTTCGTGTATGGTGAGTGGGACGAGTGTAAGATGCGCTTGTTGTGGTTTTCGATGACCTGTTTGGTGTTGTTCATACAGCTGTAACTGATTTTGATGGTGTTGCGGTTAAATATCTTGCGGAGGCTGTGATCCTTAGGGAAATGTTTGTCGATTAGGTTGAGGAATTTGTGTCCGATATTGGTGCTGACGTTCTTGCTAAATGGAGGGTTGTACCAGAGGATGTTGCTTCGCTGCCTGTTTTTGCGTTTGGCAGTCGTGGTGGGTTCGTAGTGGAGGGTGTATTGATATCCGCCTTCGTCAAGTGCTTTTTGGTACGGGGGGGCGGCTTTGTCGAATGAAGCTTTGTCTGATGAAAGGGATGAAAGTCGTTTGTTGATGCCGGCAGGTATGTTCTTTGTGGTGATCGGTGGATGATTTCTCTCGCGGTGTACGTACTGTAGTGTGGTGTTAGGCTTTGTGTAGGGCTGGTAGGTGCTGTTGTTTAGGTTGAAAGCGACGTCTAGGAAGCTGATAATCTTTTTGTTTGCTTCGATGGTGATACGTAGTCCGTTGCGGTTGAAGATACGGCAAATTTCCTTCTTTATGTTTTCGGTGTCTCTCGGCGTGGTGTTGGTGGTGGCTAGTCCGTCGCCTCTGTAGAGTCCTACGTTGATGTTGAGGTCTTGTAGCTGTGAAAGAAGGAAACTTCCTACTAGATCGCACGTTTCGGCGCCGTCGTAGCTGCTCATCGTGACGTCAAATGTCGTGTCTCCTTTCTTTTGCCAGGGTTGCCGCTTGTGTATGAGTGTTGATTTCTTAGCGTGGACTATGATGTTCCGTTCGTCCATGGTGATGTTGTCATATGTGGATGCGAAGTCAAGTGCTTTGTTGAGAAGGTCTTGGCTGATGGATGGATAGAATTCCTCGATGTCGAAGCAAATAAAACTTAGGTGTTGTTTGTTTTTTAGGGATTTGAACCACCCGATTGTCAGCTTTTAAATATATGTTTATATAATATGATATGTTTATACATATCAACTCCAATGGCTCACGAATCATGGCAGGTTTAGCTTTTGACTTAAAAAATGTATTGCGCTTTATAAAAAATAAAAACCTGGCCAGATGCAAAAGCGTTGAGGAGTAGTAGAAGAAGCCCCTTCTACCACACTCTCCCCCAACGTTTTTAAGGAAACTGGAAACGTTTCGGCACTTTCGAGTGAAAAACCCTAGAAGAAAGGGCACAAATAATAATTATAAAAACAATAATAATGATGATAATATCAATAATTTATATTAACAATTCTATCAATCTTAGGCAAACTAGCTGATGTAGCAATCATCAAATGCACAAAGAACACCCAACGAATGACCAGATATAGTAGTATTTACATACCACGGCACGAGGACTTGTGAATTCATTGACATGGCAAAACCGTCAGACAGAAACATCATTAGAGTCCACCGAAAACGGTCCAAATATAAGGACCTGGAGGGGCCTTTGTTGTATGATGTATTTAAGAAGGGAAGGACCTAGTACAGACCTGGGCGGATCTCTTCTAGAAACCAAGGACAGAAAAACTACCATAAATATTACCACGCTCTCTGTATCCATCTAAAAGGGTCCTTATCTTGCAAATATTATGCAACGAGATACCGAGAAGAAGAAGGTCGCGTGGTTGGCTGTCGAAAGCCCTACCAAGATCTAACAATACAACGCCTACTAAACCCTTCTTATCAAGATTTTATTTTCAATGTTTCAAATTGCCGATCAGAGCCGTATCACTTCCATGACGCTTATGTAAAGCAATTTGATGGCTCACAAGCAGTCTCCCTCAAACTATTTGCATAGCTTGTGGTAGAGACAATTACCAAAAACTGCGTCAAAGATGTGTAACACCAAAATGGGTCGATAATTTCTTTTATCTAGGTGTTCGTGAGCTTGGAAGACAGGTTTTACCTGGCCATTGGCAATTTACCCATGCAAATGCAAAAACTGATGAGCTCATTTAGAGGGGTGCCTTTGCGACGCAAGCCACTAACAGCGAGGAGAAAAAACCGAACACAGACCGGGGAGAGACACCTCTTAATAATCAACCTGATTACAACATTTCATCGCGTCCTCCTCAACTGTAGAAACATCGACCGCATCCTC